GCGTTTTTAAGTGTAATAGAATCACGTCAGTGTGCGTGAACTGTGATCAAGGCCCATGGCCGCAAAACTGGTATTTTGGAATAAATCAGTTAATTAAATCATAATTTACATTCTATCTATCTATATATTTATTAATACATGCCTATGTACCGCCTACCAGATAGTTCGCCAGATATCGCCTTTGTCAGTTTGTTATGTTGCCTAGCCCACGAATAAATATATTATACCTATAGGTTCATACATATTATACGTATTATACCATAGGTATATATAATTTATTCATTTATTTATTTATATCGTCTATACGAACCACTCGTGGGCTAGGCAACATAACAAATAATATATATATATATATATATATTATCGACCAGACCGACCAGATATCGACAACCTTTGTCTGGACAAAAAAAGTTCAAAAAAAGATGACCTCTAGATTGGTGGAGGTTTAATAAAAAGTAGTAAAAGTTTTTAAGTCACAAAAATATTTATTCAATGGTAAATAGTACAAATTTAATAAACATCATCATCAGACACATTATATTTCATTACACATATTATAAATCGTAATTTAAAATATCATTGATTTCTAATGAGTCAGTCACACATATGTATGGCCCAGTCACACATACGCGACGCACGGCCCGCGCATTGAAAAAATGGAAAATAAGATCAGTGCGTCGTTGTGCACCCAACTTTTGTCAGGATTTGGGAGAAGCTAGCGAGTTGACAACGAATGCACAGCGTGTTGCTAGCGCGCTGCGCGTATACAGGGCGGCATACAGAGCGTATACAGGGCGCATGTTAAAAATCCAACGAATGCCACAGCGTGTTTGCTAGCGCACTGAATGAATGGTCCGCGCATGCGCCGCGCATTCAACGTACAGCCAGCGAACGGCAGCGGTCATGCATGCTGTGACAATGAGACGGGTCTCGGGCTGCTGCTGCATCGTGCTCAGGAGAACTTGGAAACGGTTGGCCAGGATGCCGAAGGCATTTTCTACGACCCTCCTGGCTCGGGAAAGCCGGTAGTTCAAGATGCGCTTCGGCCGAGTCATACCCCGGGGGCTGGACGGCTTCATCCTGTTGGGTCGTAGGGCGAAGGCATCGTCGCGACGAAGAAGTAGGGTACATCCTGGTTGTCGTTGGAAGAGTATCGGATCAGGGAAGCCCCTACCATCTTCAACGCATTCATTCAGCTCAGAGGCATTGTAGATCTGAGCGGATGCTGATCCCATACCGCCGACGTCTGCCCAGATGAACTTGTAATCAGCATCCACGAGCGCCATGAGGACAACGGAGTAGAACCCTTTCTAGTTGTAGTATAGGGAACCACTGTTTGGAGGACACTTGCAGTTGACGTGCTTGCCATCAAGTACACCACAGGTATGGGGGAAGTTCCATTAACTTGTCAGATATGGCACGCCATCTCAGGAGTGGCGTGCACACTTCATCACCTCATCCTTGTACTCATCGATGATGGCCTGGCACACTTCTGGATGAGCAGGGATATGGTGTTGTGAGGCACCCTCACCCATAGACATTGAGTGATACTTGGTCGCCAGAGGCAAGATGCCGCAGAGTGAGGGCAAGCTTCAGGCCAGGGTCGAGGGCCTCTCTGTAGGTTGTATTCTGCTTGGTGATCTCGAGCCCACTCTGGTTAGCAGCTCGTCGAACATCTCGGGGGCATCCGCATGAAGTTCTTGAAGGCTGCCTGGTCTTCGTTACGGAGTTCAACAAGTAGCGTGTGTGTGTGTGTGTGTGTGTGTGTGTGTGTGTGTGGTGTGTGTGTGTGTGGTGTGTGTTTTGTGTGTGTGTGCGTGTGTGGTATTCGTGCGTATGTGTATGTGTGTGTATGTGTGCGTGCGTGCGTGCGTGCCGCGTGTGTGTGTGTGTGTGTGTGTGTGTGTGTGTGTGTGTGCGTGTGTTCGTTTCCGTCCGCGCATGTGTGCGCGCGTGTTCGTGCGTCTGTGTGTGCGTGTGTGCGCGAGCGCGTGCGTGCGTTTGTGTCATGTGACATTTACTTCCATCTCACCCGTGCTGTGACACCAATACACACTACTTCCTTTCAAGTTATGGTTATGATTCATGTATATACCTTATCGTGGCAGAATCACTAGTTTAAACCTCGTGCCATTACGCACCGGACACTGTGACAATATGTGTTCATCGTTAATTAAACTTGAGTGGTTAAAACCTACTGCTATGTACTACTGCTACTCAGCGGACGCATCCGAGATAGAGTTCACAATGCCATGCCATGAATATTTGTCCGTCATCAGTGTGTGCATGTCCGCTATGTCATGCTGGATATCAAACCGCTGTATAATTACAAACCTATATTTTGTAGGTGTGCGACATTAGGTGTAGTATAAACGGACACAGCCTTCCACGATTCACACAGCCGCGTACGCTTGTCCCCCCCCCCACCGCACATAAAATAGAGAGGCAATCTTATTATTGGTTATGATGCATGCATACCTTATGGTGGCAGAATCACTAGTTTAAACCTCGTGCCATTACACACCTGAATGTGTATGACCACAGTATGTGCTCCTCGTGAACTAAACTTTACTGGTTTTAACACTACCGCTCCGATATCATTGGGTGTATAAGCGATGTATAAACGTGCACCAACCTTGACAAACCTAGGTACTCTCCCACACTAGTACGCCCCCCCCCCGCACATAAATAGAGAGGAAACTCTTTAGAGAGATATTATGCAAAGAGAGATCGCATTTGCCGCAGCATTGTCGCATTGGCGTGGTGACATTTCGTCACCGCATTTCCGTCTACATTTACCGTTTCATCGTTTATATTTATACACCGTTATATGTATTTTACTGATTTTTTTCGCCAGCATTTCATGCCGATTACATTACATGATGTGGACGTTGTTGTACGATGGCAAAAGCGTTTGGGATAATAATTTAGAAGATATTTTAGTGAATTTATGTAATACGAGACGAAGGTCCATTTGCATCGTCGTCTTTTCATATATATATATATGGGTTTGAACGCAAGTCGTTCCCGCGCCTATTGTCCTCCTCTTTCTTTTCATTGCAGTAACTATGATACGTTCCGTGTATTTATGCCAAAGAAATAATACACTGAAGCTCACATCTGAATCATTCTCTCTGTCGCCTCGCGCGCTCTCGCTCTCCTCGCCGCTCTCTCTCTCTCTCTCTCTCTCTCTCTCTCTCTCTCTCTCTCACCCTCTGTGTCGCCCGCGCGCGTTCTGTCTGTCTGTCTGTCTCTCTCTCTCCTCTCTCTCTCTCTCTCTCTCTCGCTATATATATATTATATTATATCTCTGTCACCCGCTCTCTCTCTCTCTGTCGCCCCGCTCTCTCTCTCTCTGTCGCCCCGCCTCTCTCTAACTCTGCTCTC